CCCAGAGCACTGAGTCCAGCGCCGAGAGACCCAAAGCCCCAGGCGCCCAAAGGGACCCCAAGAGCGAAGGCACCAAGGAGGGGCCAGCCCCGGAAATCAGACCCCCACCAAGGGAGGAGGAGAGACAGCCCAGAAGAAGCCCCCCAGCCGCCGCCATGCCGGCGCCCCGGGGAGCCGCAGGGACGAGCCGGCAGCCGGCCACCCTGAAGTAGGACCGGGCACCGAACACCGGCCCCCCCCACGACACCGACCGAAACGCCCCGGCCCCACAGAGCACCGAAACACGCCCCGCCCCCGGCACCAAGCCTCGGCGACCGGCGGCAACACTCAACGTGACCGCACCAACCAGGAAAAACACACAGATGGCCACGCCCACAGCCAGGGCCCACGGGCATCCGCCTCAAACCGGCCGTGAGCGCTGAGGAATCCCCCCAAGATGCCCCCTATACCAAAAGCGCGGCCCCACCAAGACCGATGTCAACAGCGCGCCAGCCGGAGCCACTCCATCCCCCACCCGTCTGGCAGCCACACCCGCCACGATCAGGGGGAACAAAGCAGCTCCACCATGCCTCCAAGTGGGAAAACCCACCCGAAAACCCAATCAGCGCAGCCAGCCTATCCACACCGGCCCCCCAACCCCACCCCGCCTAAGCCACCCAGACCCCCACACACCAATGGCGCGCCGCCAGCAGGACCCCCACCCAACTCAGAGAAACATTGACGGAAGTCTGTTTTGCAAAATATGGCTTGAGATTACCAACAGACCCATGCAACTTTTGTCAATCACAGTTTTCTGATTTCTGGGGCCTGCATGGCCTTCCATTCATGGGGTCTCTCCGTTGTGGCTGACTAAGGAGCCCCCACAAAAGAGGATGAGACAAGCAGGTTGCTTTGTTCCCAAGCATGGTAGGGGGCTGTATCGCATGTCCTGGTAGGAATCTCTTGTGATAGTTTCGTGAGAGGGGGGTTCAAACCAGAGAAAAAAGTAAACATTTAAACATTTCCTCCATCAATGTTTAAAGTTAACCAGCCTGGACATTATGCCCAAATGTACAAGAAAACTACAATATTGCTTAGTTCCTGCTTAGTCCTGCTTAGTCCCTGCACATCCTCATTTTGTACTACCTATGAACATTACCAAATCTTACCATAGACTCTGGAATTTAATGTTGGACTTTGACTAGGCCAGTGTCTGTCTGTCTGTAAACCTGGGGTATTCTGTTTCTGCCCTAATGTAATGACTCACAATTCCTTCTGCAATTTTTATGTATTCATCTCCAAATATCATTGACTTTGACTACTTTCCCTGTTAGGGGCATAGAAAAGCGTGCCGACCATATGGTGCTGCAGCAATTGCCACAATATTTCTTCATGGGATTATGAGCTCACTGTGCTGGTTTTCTTCTAAACATTTCTGCTTTCATCCAGAGCACAATGTTCAGGTTTAATCCCAACTATTAGGAAAACTTTCTTGCACATGTTTCCCGTGAATCCTGCATGGTTTGTGGCAAGGTTTAAGCTGAACTTTGCCCTTCATTTAGCAATACCTTACTTCTCCAACACTACTCATCTGTTGAGGACAAAGTTGAGGAATACCTGACCAATAGTTACAAATTTTCCCAAGAGAGATTTACAAGGCTTGATTTATTGTTTTAACACTGGCTTATACTTATATAAGTATATAGTATATATACCCCACCCACACAGTTGCATATATATATATATATATATATATATATATATATATATATATATATATATATATATATATATATATATATATATATATATATATATATATATATATATATATATATATATATATAAAAAACAAAAAAAAATATTCTCTCACCCATTGTGGGGTGGTATATGTCATCCTCAAGCTCGGGTCCTCTACCAGAGGCCTGAGAGTTTGAGGGTTCTGCGCAGTATCTTAGCTGCTCCTAGGACTGCACTCTTCTGGACAGAGACCTCTGATGTTTTACCTGGAATCTGCTGTAGCCACTCTCCCAGTTTGGGGGTCACAGTCCCCAGTGGTCCAATTACCACTGGCACCACTGCTGCTCTTACTTTCCACATCTTTTCTAGCTCCTCTTTCAGCCCTTGGTATTTCTCAAGCTTCTCGTGTTCTTTCTTCTTGATGTTGCTGTTGTTCGGGAATGCCACATCTATTACTACCGCCTTCATCTGCTGTTTGTCGATCAACACGATGTCTGGTTGGTTAGCCATCACCTGTTTGTCAGTCTGGATCTTGAAGTCCCATAGGATCTTAGCTCGGTCATTCTCAACTACCTTAGGAGGGGTCTTCCATTTTGACCTTGGGCCTTTCAGCCCATACTCATGGCAGATGTTCCTGTACACTATGACAGCTACCTGGTTATGGCAATTGGCTTTGCATTGGCTTCCAGACTTGTTTTCCACAGCTTCATTGAGTTCTTGATGAAGGTTATTAGTGTCTTGTTGATCTTGTACATTTCCAAGCATTCCAGTATCCATGTATGTGGCATTGAGTCGTAGGCTTTCTTATAGTCAATCCAGGCAGTGCACAGATTTGTCTGCCTGGTCTTACAGTCTCGAGTGACTGCTCTATCCACTAGTAGCTGGTGCTTGGCTCCTCTGGTGTTACTGCCTATTCCCTTCTGGGAAAGGTTGCATGTATTGAGCCATGTGCCTACTCATCTTAGCCGCTATGATGCCTGACAGGAGCTTCCATGTTGTACATAGGCAAGTTATTGGCCGGTAGTTGGATGGGATTGTCCCCTTCTGGGGATCCTTCATGATCAGAATTGTCTGTCCTTGGGTTAACCATTCTGGGTGGGTCCCATCCATCAGCAGTTGGTTCATTTTTGCTGCAAGGTGTGCATGAAGTGTGGTTAGTTTTTTCAGCCAGTAGGTGTGGATCATGTCAGGGCCTGGTGCTGTCCAGCTCTTCATACCTGCCGCTCTTTCTTGGACATCTGCCGTTGTAATGGTTACTGGTTCTTGTCCTGGGAGATTGCTGTGATCTGTTCTTAGATTCGCTAGCCACTGAGCATTGGTGTTGTGGGATGCCTCCTTCTCCCATATGTTCTTCCAGTACTGTTCAGTCTCAGCCCTGGGTGGATCTGATCTTGAATTATTACCCTGCCACTGTGAGTACACTTTGGATGGGTTGGTGGAGAACACCCGGTTTATTCTCCTGGCTTCTGCTTCTCCCTTGTATGTTTTTAGGTGGGTGGCCAGGGTGATGTGTTTGTTCGGCAGTTTCTAGAGCCTCAGTAATCGACAGCTTGTTGGTAACCTCTTCCCTACACCTTTCTGCAGGTCTGAGAGCTGACTAACCTCAAGCGACCCCAGTGAGAGAGGAAATATATATATATATATATATATGTATGTATGTATGTATGTATGTATGTATGTATGTATGTATGTATGTATGTATGTATGTATGTATGTATGTATGTATAGAACAAATGACATTAAAATGCGATGGACTGAACTACATATTTATCAAAAGCATGGAGAATGAAACACTTTCCTATTATGTGTCTTCCTGTTCAGATGCACAAACAGATTCCAAAATTATGATGTTTTCCACAGGACCTAGTCCTGAAATATAGAAGAACATTCAGTAGCAACAACAATAAAAGCTACAGGACTGAATGTTTCTTTTGTTTGGGCCAGTAGGGCATCTACAACGGACAAAAGCAGAAAGTGTTATTTTTCTACATCAGAATTATACTGCTTTCACGTTTTCCCTATCTGGGGCTGACTTTTAGAGTGTTCTTTTTTTTTTCTACAAATGGTTTAACATCAATCTTGGGTCTTTCACAACTAAAATAAGAAAGAATTGTCCAATCTGGAGAGCCTTTTGATCTAGATGGACCTTAGACATAAAAAACCGAAGGGTGCAAATCAGTATGTCACATAGCATGTCTTTTTTTGACTTAGAGTAAAGTGCAGTGTATTGATTAGGCTTTTTATTTTTTACAAGATGACACAAATCTTGGAGCTTTGGATGAAATCTGAGAAAAATGGATTGATAAAGAAGGACAACACCCTAGCTCTCAATCACGAGCCTGTTTTAGTTTTGTTTTCGTTACAAGTGCATGGACAATAATCTCACTTGACTATTATTTCCCTATTTCTTGCAGTTAATATGTTTTTGGTATTATGTGCATTTCAATAAATGAATACTATCCCTTTCTGTGCAAACTTTGTATGGTAGTGTGGTTTCTTTTTTTTTAATGGGTAGTGGCTTTGTCCCGTAGTTTAACTAACTGGTCTAAGAATTCACAGTGAATTTATAAATATAAAGTTTTATTTTTTGCATCTCAATTTCCATCCCTTTAAAGTAATAAAGGAAAGAAAGTTGGGTAACACTTTATTTGAAGGGGTGTACATAAGACTGACATTACACTGTCATAAACATGACATAACACGTGTTATGAACATTAATGAATCTTTATGAATGTTAAGGACTGTTGTCATTAATTGTCATTCGGTAAATTATGACACTATTAAAGCAAAGTTGACATTGTTTAAAATGTCTTTGTTATGACAACTTGACATTAACAGAGACAAAAATGTCTTTGTTATGACAACGTGACATTTACAGAGACACAAATGTCTTCATTATGACAACTTTACATAAACCCAAAACTCATAACCCATCATAAATATGTCATGACAGATCTAATTATAAACCTTTAAAAAGTTATTGTTGTGCATGTTTTTACATTAAATTACACTGTCATATGTGATTGTTCTTAACTTTGGCTATCATGAGACCATTTAAATTGTATAATAAAAATGTCTCCTTATAGGACTAGTTATAAATATGTCATTAAGCGTTTATATCCTGTCAAATGCCTTAATAACCATGTCATGAAAAAGTCTCCTTACCTCAAGTAAAGTGAAACATATAGGACTAGTTATAAATATGTCATTGAGCGTTATTATGCTGTCAAATGCATTAATAACATTGTCATGAAAATGTCTCCTTACCTCAAGTAAAGTGAAACATATAGTACTAGTTATAAATATGTCTTTAAGTGTTATTATTCTGTCAAAAAGTTTAATAAAATCATCTCTTCCTAGACCTTTAAAAATACTTACACTTGAGAAAAGAATGTCCTGAAGTGTTATTACACTCATAAATGCTTTTAAATACCATAATAAAACCAATCCACAAGTTAACACAAACACTTTCTTTTAATTGCTTTGAAAATTTTTTTTCTTCATTCATCAGAGGGTTCAATTTCTGGCAGTGTTTGAGCACAAACCTTCAGAACTTTAAAAAAAAAAAAGAAAAAGTTGTTCTTCCCCAAACAGAGGGTTCAACTTCTTGTTCAGCAGATTTTACTTCTGAAATACAAATTTAAAAAACTAAAAACACAACTCAACTAAAAAATAAAAACCCAAGTTGTTTACAAAGTAATATTTTAAGTGTACTTGTACATTATTGGGAGGAGTTTTCCACTTCTTTTTGTTGCTGTGATGGTTTCAGCCATCTCTTTTGTTATAGCATTCCTACAACGCTCTGCAAACTGGGAGATCTTCTCGTTATCGTGGTTTCCTGGGAGCAGCTCCTTGAAGGTGTCAGGAAAAGTTATTGCAAGCTCAGCAATAACAGCTGTCCTCGCAATGGTGTTGCGGTCAACCTTAATCTTGTTGAAGGCCTTTTTCATGGATCCAAACTTAGTGAATCTCTTCAGGGCACTCTCATAGCGGTTGATAACTCCATCCACTGTGGTCACTTAAAAAAAAAAACATGAATAAATAAACAAAAAAAAACAATGACAGCTTCCACTTTAGGCATGGTAAATTGGGAAATTATCCAATTTTTGCAAAATTGGTTTTAGACCATATCACTCAGCCCGGGCAGTAACCTTTACTCAATACCACCGACGGCAATATTACTCAGCACCATTGTTTAAAAAGTTGCTCTGTATCATCAGTTTTAGACAGTGAAAAGAGCTATAAGTAAGTATTTACTATAAAATCAACCTAAATCATTCTCATTTGTGACCTAGGATGGAAGTATTAAAAACACTGGTCCTCTCCATTCACAATGTTTTTGTCAAGTTTGCTCCTTTTCTCCTAGCCATTCTTTACTTAATGGTTCTTGAGCCTATCAGATGACAGTTCCCAGGGTTCCCAAAACTGAGCACATAATTTTGTATTTTATCTTGACAAAAGAGCTGCATCGCAAACGTTGAAGCCAGTAAGAGACCAGAACAGACAATGCATTATACACATGTCCCTACCAATGTGACCACATGTCACTACCAATAAATTAATTCATCATACTGCTGTATGAACAGTATTTTATGAAGCACTAAGTTCTACTACTGTGTGTGGATGTGTAGTTGGAGCCATGAGATTGTCGTGAAAGATGGATAAAATGCAACATGACCAGTCAGAGTTTGGATTGTATAAATATCCGATATGTACAAATATTGAAGCTACACAAATTGGCTGTGCTTACTTCTTGAACGGCTGTATGAATCATAGTGTTTCTTGGACTTTTTGGTCTTCTTTTTCTTCTTCTTTTTTTCCTCTTCCACTGAAGATGATGAGGAGCTTAAGTCTGTGGAAGAGGAGGAGGGGGTAGTAGATGTTGAAGATGGAGGAACCTGAGCAATCTCTCTAGAGCCTGGAGGTGGAGAAGAGAGAGGTCTATCAGTAAAGGTTTAAGAGAAGGTGCTCACACTGTAGTATTCTGTCCTTTGTTACTTGTAAAATCAAACCAGAATACCACTGGAACCTCATGCCATATTTCGACAGAATTTTGAGTGCATTGTACCACATGATATCAGTAAGTGATTTATGAATTAGTCCCAGGCCAACTAATAACTACAGTTCTTTTAAACACTTAACCCTCAGTTTCCCTCATCCAAACTGCAAAGCAATTAAACCTCTTCTGTTTGTTGTTTTGTATCGTCCACCAGGCCCTTACACTCAGTTTTTGGATCAGCTGTCAGACTTCTTATCTGATTTGGTGTTAAACACTGACAAGGTTATTATAGTGGGTGATTTTAACATTAATGTTGACATAGAATGTGATAAGCTTAGTGTAGCCTTTAAAACTATCCTAGATTCAATTGGTTTTACTCAAAATGTGCATAAACTGATGCACTGTTGGCTTCATACTTTAGACCTTGTGCTGGCATTTGGCATTGATTGTGAAGAATTAACAATATTTCCTCACAACCCTGTCTTATGTGACCATTTTTTAATAACCTTTGAGTTTAATCTGAGTTCTCCACCCCCAAAAGAACGTTCCATTATATTAGATCTTTATCGGATAATGATGTATCCAAACTTAAAGAGTCTGTCCCCCTTTTAATATCCTTAGCATTGCAGAAATGTCCTGTAGATGGCAGCAATGCTGTTTCTTGCCTTTCACAAATCGACACCTTTGTTAACGGTGTGACTTAGCCATTGCATCCTGCATAAGACAATGTAGCTCCCTTGAAAAAGAAGGTGATAATTCACAGGGAGCTGGCTCCCTGGTTTATTCATTTGACACCCTGTCTACTTTTAAGACTAATCTTAAAACTTTCCTTTTTAAAAAAGCTTATAGTTAAGAGTGGCTCATGTTACCCTGAGCTACCTCTGTAGTTATGCTGCTATAGGCTTAGGCTACTGAAGGACATTGTGATCTGTTTTTCTCACTCTATAGAGTTCTACTGCTCTTCAATTATGCATTGCTTGTCATCAATTCTTCTTTTAAATTTTTGTTCTCTTTTTTGTTCATAGTAGGTACATCTTGTCTGGCGTTCTGTTATCTTAGATATCACCCACTGAAGACAGCTCTGGATAGCTATTACCAAATCCCAAGCGGAAATTATGATTGGTCCATCCATTTTATGGGTAATGGAAATCCATCACAATAGCAGCAAGTCCAGATGGATGTGTGGAGCCGTGTGAAGGTTGGCAGAACTACATCCATCTTGCCAGAGCCAGGTTACTTAAAGGGGTAATATTAAAATTACATGTGAGTCATCTTGGTTTGAGGTGGACGTCTGCACCTTAAAGGAATAGTACACCCAAAACATGATTAGCCTTCATTTTCTACTCACCCCCATGCTGAACAACACCCTGGAGTACTTTTTTGATATCTCAAATGCATCTGGAGATCTGGGAGGCTTCTTGCTGTCTGCTGACATTCAAATAATGGAGGTGCCCAGCGCCCGAGGCAGAAAGGTCCATAAAAGTCCACAAAAAACGTTTCAATATTCCTCCATACTGCTCGTCCAATGTATTCCAAGTTTCCTGAGTGGGTAGCATCCAGAATTTACTCGAAACGAAGTCATTTAGAATGTTTTTAGAGCATAAACAGTAGTGTATAGGATTTCCTGAAAGCGCGCACCTGCGCGATCCCGACGCTACGGAAGCCGGCAGACCAAACCAGCGCATTCAGGACTCACTCAGGACACTTGGAATACATTGGACGAGCAGTATGGAGGAATATTGACACGTTTTTTGTGGACTTTTATGGACCTTTCTGTCTCGGTCACCATAGACCTCCATTATTTGAATGTCAGCAGACAGCAAGAAGCCTCCCAGATCTCCAGATGCATTTGAGATATCAAAAAAGTACTCCAGAGTGTTGTTCAGCATGGGGGTGAGTAGAAAATGAAGGCTAATCATGTTTTGGGTGTACTATTCCTTTAAATGCTTGGTTTCCTATGACTATAAAATAATAGCCTTTTGGTGCACTATGTACAACGCCTCACAGTGAGCATAACCATGTCACTCTACACTTCAAAATCCATACTATTTTGCTATTGATTTTATGACCGTTGTACCTGACTTGCTGCTAGATGCAGGTGCCACAGTGGCTTCCTTAATTTGTGACAGAATAATAATAATAATAATAATAATACATTTTATTTAACAGCGCCTTTCTAGACACTCAAGGTCACTTTACAAATAATACAAAAAATAAATAAAAAGACGATGAAAATACAAAATACAGATACAGGAACATAAAACAACAGAGAACAAAAAACAATTATGGATAGGGAAAAGAGCAGTGTATTCACATATAAGCGAGCTGGAACAGATGGGTTTTGAGTCTGGCTTTGAATAAGGGGAGAGAGTCAATACTGCGGAGGTCGGGAGGAAGTGAGTTCCAGAGCTGGGGAGCAGAGCGGCTGAAGGCTCTGCTCCCCATGGTGACAAGTCGAGCTGGGGGTACAGTGAGGTGGATGGAGGAGGAGGATCTAAGGGAGCGGGAGGAGGTGGCAATGTGAAGGAGGTCTGACAGATATGAAGGAGCAAGGTTATGGATGGCTTTGAAAGTATAGAGAAGGATTTTGAATTGAATTCTGAATTGAACTGGGAGCCAATGGAGTTGGTGAAGAACAGGGGAAATATGATGGAAGGAGGGGGTTCTGGTGATGACACGAGCTGCTGAGTTCTGAAGAAGTTGAAGTTTATGGAGAGATTTATGAGGGAGGCCAAAAAGAAGAGAATTGCAATAGTCAATACGGGAGGTGATGAGGCTGTGGATAAGGACAGAGGCAGTATGAGTGGTGAGGGAGGAACGGAGACGGTTAATGTTGCGAAGGTGGAAGTATGCAGACCTGGTAATTTTATTTATGTGAGACTGAAAGGAGAGGGAGGAGTCGAGGATGACACCCAGACTCTTGACCTGAGGGGAGGGGGAGACTAAGGAGTTGTCAATGGGTTGTGAGAAACTTTTGATTTTTGATAGGGTGGATTTAGTGGCAACGAGGAGGAGTTCTGTTTTATCACTGTTTAGTTTAAGGAAGTTTGAGGTGAACCAGTCTTTAATTTCAAGTAGGCAGTTAGTAAGGGACAAGGGGGGGAGAGAGGAAGTGGGTTTACTGGATAAATAAAGCTGGGTGTCATCCGCATAACAGTGAAAGTGGATGTTGAATTTCCGGAAAATACCGCCAAGGGGAAGAAGGTAGGTGATGAAGAGGAGGGGGCCAAGAACTGAGCCTTGAGGAACACCAGAAGTGACAGGGGAAGGGTGCGAAGTGAAAGATTTGAGCTGAATAAACTGAGTGCGGTCAGAGAGATATGAGCGGAACCATTCAAGAGGGGTGTGAGAGATGCCAAGAGAGGATAATCTATTGAGGAGAATGGGATGAGAAATGGTATCAAAGGCTGCACTGAGATCGAGAAGGATGAGGATGGAGAGGAGTCCAGAGTCAGCAGCTATAAGGAGATCGTTTGTGATTTTTATTAGGGCAGTTTCAGTGCTATGAGAGGGGCGAAAACCAGACTGGAAAGGTTCGTAAAGACTGTTGAGGGTAAGAAAGGTGTGGAGTTGAGCAGACACAGTTTAAGAAGGAAAGAAGTCTTTGTCCTTTTTCAGCTCCCTGTTGGCCTCCTCCAGGTATTTAATGCGGTCCTCAAGGTGATCAATCTTCTGTCTATCCATCTTTGCTTGATGTTTCAGTTTGGTCAACTCCACTGCCCCCGTTGGTGACCCTGGAAATATGTATTGGGTAAAAACATTTGATTTTAATATTAAGTGTGTTATGTTTAATCCTTTTCAGTGGCAGGGGCTACAAAGTACTTTTTTCCAGAATGTTTCACAGGTTGGATTTAGTTGCACTTAGAATTCAAATAAAAGTCCGCTTTTGAAAGTAATTCATGGCCTTCTTAATTTTTAGTAAGAAATTTAAGGGATAATAAAAATCAATTAATCTATCTTATTTTTGAGCCATATCTTCCAGCCCTACAAGATGCGTATTTTTGTCACTTAATATGCCTTCATAAAATATTTAAAAATAAATGCAATGGCTTATTTATGTTTGCAAGAGGCTTATTAAACCTTCAAGGGCTATTGTACATTTTTGGATGTATCTCTTAATCCATAATAGCTACTAATTTCCTTTTTTTTTTAATCCAAAATGTGAGATCTTAGATTTTCCACTGATACCATCAACATAGTGGTTTGCCCTCCAAAACCGTATAGAAAACTAATAAAAATCACTGTCCAATGCGTCCTGGTAATGTGATGCAAAGTTCCCTAATCAGAGTGCATAATGCAGATTAAAAATACGGTTAGACGACAAGATATTAGCTTGGTTTGACTGGATACGCTAGCATGAATTTGTAAGAAAAAGGCTATAAATAAGATAAAAATCAGCAAAGCAACAGTCCTTTATGAAGGCTTATTGTGCTTAACTGCGCAGATAGTGATACATTTAAACAATAAGATTTATTTACTTCACCAAAGTATTCGCTGAACCAGAAATTACCTTGTATGTGCATTTCTACATACTGACAAATAAGCTTATCAATGAAAAATGGATGTATAATGCTTAATTGTAACATTTTAGATGGTGTTATAAAACCACTATGAAATAAAAAAAATCTTCAGGCGAAAATATGCCCTCAAAAGGCCATAAGACATTGAAGCGTTACTAAATAAAGAGATTGAACATCAGATGATATAGTTTACAGACAAATTTAAAACCTTTAGCAGCCTAAAATGTAACTTTTGTATTACCTGGGCTGGTGGGATGAGTAAATTTCCAGCCCTTCTGGAGAAAATAGTACACCAAAAATGACTTACACAGTTTCCTTGGGGAATATTTCATTTGCTTCTTAGCCTTTTGACCAACGGAGACGAGTTCTAAATCTTGTGGCTTGTCCACGAAAGCCTCCTCCACAACCTCTTGCACGTCTTCGACAGCGTCCTGTACCCCCCCATCGCGTGTCTTTTTGCCAAAACGAGTCTCCATCTCGCTAAAATTGGCACAAAAAAAGAACACAAGCAGCATGTGACATCAGTCAAGTTGCTTTAGTAAAACACACAAAACGTAACTTTGACCTAGTAGTTTGTTTGCTAGATTTAAATTTGAGAAAAAAAATATAAATACCAGAATTTCTAGAATGTGTACAACATTAATGACTAATGTTCCAGATAAAGAGTTAGTTGAATTTAGCTAAGGTTAACTGAAAGGAGTGTATTTAAGGGAGACTGAACAAAGAGAGGACTAACGAGCAGATTGGGAGCAGGTGTCAACAGAGCAGCAAAGGAAGAAGCGAGGGAAAAGGAGACTAACACAAGAGGGCAACAAAGGGAAACAAATAAAAAACTCAAATATTTCCAGAAAATACAACAAAATGGGAATTAAACCAATAAAACTAGAAAACATGAAGCAAAGTAAAACATAACAGAATCAAGACTGTGATACTTTTAGTAGAATCTCTTGCAAAAATGGGTTTCTTATTGCCACATATCAACACCTACCTCGTTTCTGGAGTCTATAAATAATGGCATCTGTTTCAAAGATCTAAGCATATCAACACCTACCTCGTTTCTGGAGTCTATAATTAATGGCAATTGTTTCAAAGATCTAAGCTGTGGATATTTTGCTTTATTTTCCAATTTCCAGTAGAACCATACTTTCCCCTTTCAGATGGAGAACTGTATAGTTTGCTGGGATAAAGCTTGTCCTTCTGTATTCATTAGTATTCAGTCAGCTTTAATGCAGTTGCCCAGTTCATCCACAAGAGGGAGCTCACAAGATGCAGGTAAAATTCCCTAAAATGAATCCACTACTTCATGACAGTTCAAATAACTCCAGAAAAACAACTCACAAAAAAAAAAATCAGACTCAACCTCAGCAATCTTGAAGATTTTATTTGTTTACAAAGTTAAGATTGCGTTTTCATATAGTCCTTCCTTTAATGAGTAGAAAAACTTTTTCTGAAAGAATTAGTTGAAAGGCACAAATTTTACAATATATACATTTAGATCTAAATTATAAATATATATAGAGAACAAAAACAAAAACCCAGAATAAAAGTGCTGAACACAGTTTTTTTTTTTTTTTTACAGAAAAAAATAGGCTTTGTTTAAAAATACATACAATCAGTAGCATGTTTTTGTGTCATTTTTTTCTTTGTTAGGAATAAATTATTTCAGAGTGATAACATTTACATAATATGTAAAAAGTGAAAGAACAACAAACATGGTTACAGTATACAGAGAGCATTTATAAAGAACTAGGACAACAGGCTTGCGACTGCTCAATTATAGCCAACACAAACAGTAACTGGATTATGCCATTCTTAGTGCAAAATGATACACGATTAAAGGCCTAACTAAGCAAATAAAATAATAAAATATCTGTAAATCCATCTATATATATATATATATATATATATATAATTTGATGTATATATATATATATATATATATATATATATATATATAGATATATATATATATATATATATATATATATATTTTGATGTATAGATATGTATATATATATATATATATATATATATATATATATATATATATATATATATATATATATATATATATCCCTCATATATGTAAAGCTTTTGTGCCAAAACAAAAAAAACAACAAAGAAAGGTTCTGCAGACGGATATCTCGGAATGTGCCTGAAGAGAAATACAGGAGATTATTTTATTTTGTGTTAGTTTGAACCTTCTGGGAGGAGAGGGAGGCTAGGATTTGCTATTGATACGCTAAAGCATAACCAGGTGTGACTGAATTAAAAACCAAAAAAAAATGACTCAACTTCCACAGAAAAGTACGATTCCTTAACAGAGAGAGGCTTTGATCTTTGAGCTAAGATGGCATAAACATTTAAAATCACCAACAGTTTCACAAACTCATCACATTAAGTTCTCAACATAAATACAGCAACACTCACAGCAAAGAGTTAGGAGAAAAAACAAAACAAAACAAAGACAAAAAGATTCGTTAGTTTAATCACTGTTACCGAGGGAAAGGACATAATTATGTCAACGCCCCGACACGCTGGGTTTCTTCCTGAGATTTCTTAAAGGTCTTGCATGTTGGAGCCAGTTTCTTTAGGGTTTCTGTCTGTGGAACACTTTGGTATTTCTGGGACAAAAGGCGAACGAGTGGAAAGGAAAGCGGGAGTTAAAATAAACCCAGATGCTGTACAGCAGTACAGAACAGTGCAATCTTATTTGGTGGCAGGTTATAATGAAATCTGTTTTTTTTGTTTGTTTGTTGTTTTTTTTTTTATAGCAATAATCTTCAACACAAGTAACATCCCTGACCGTAATATACCACTGACTATCATAATAAGATAACATATCTAAAATCTAAATATCCCTTAAATATAAATAACAATAGGTTTTATAATAGCAATGACATCAAGAACTTGTGATGTTCATCGAGATAAACTATACTTTACAAACGTACAAGACAGAAATAAAGGAGATTCATACCATGAAAGCACAGCCAAAAGTTTGCCCTGCTGAGCGTAAACGTTTGCCCTTCTTTTTTTTCCAAACTATTGGTTATTGCTTTTTGATCAGTTGATCATCTGGCGACGTGACAGGAACCTAAACGAGCGGATCTCAGAAGCTTTAACAAAGATGGAAGCTCATGCTTCTTTTATAGAAATAAACAAAAAAGGGCAGAATTTACTCAGATGCTACAAAAACTTTCTGGATTTAATTCCAATCATGAAAGAGATGATTAGTGATCTGCTAGAAGTGAAGACACGAAACGAGGCATGAGCTGGTTACTGTTAGCTGTTCACTGCAACTCAGCTTTTTACATTTAACCTCATGACATCACTGCAGTTTAAAAATCTTTCAATGACATGGTGCTGCCCCCACCTGTTTCTCTTCACTACCGGTCAATTCTCAGACATGTGGCTGAAAAAATTTATTTATTTACATTTTTTGTTTTTATAGAATAACATAAATCTAACAGATAAGGTCATTATATTTATCATCATAATAAATATTATTATTTTAGCAGATAAGGGATAAACGTTTTTTTTTTTTTGCTTTAAAGTTGACTTTTTTTTTTTTTTACACAATAATCTCATACCAGCTCATGCCAAGTGAAAGCAAATGTAAAAAGAACCACAGACACACATGGACTGAAAACGAGTCGAGGTGCACCGAAAGAGCGGCAATCTGAAACAGAATCAGCATCAGACGTGAGCTAAAATCCGCTGTTGAGAAAAAAAAAAAAGAAAAGAAGTTTTTTTTTTTTTTTTTTAAATCAGAGCACGGTGAGACAGACACAGGTAAAGGATGGGAGATGTAAAAACGAGAAGGACATGCTGAGGATAAAACATGGAGCAACAGAGCTGCATTTTACTCAAGCAGTCCTGGTGAGAACCTGATGGGGTGTAGTGTTATCATTCCTCAGAGGCCTGGAAAAATCCAAACTGGGTGAGATTCTGCATCCAACACGCCATATTTGTGTGCAAATCTACCACTAGCTGACATCTCTAATACCTAAAACCCTCCTTTAACTTTTATTTTAACATTTTTCATCCAAAGAGCAGCAAAGCAGACAATCTGACACCAGAATAATGTTCCTCCACCCCCGACACCAGCACAATGTAACACAAACACCAGATGACTCACTCGCTCATTCATGGGGTCAAAGTTAAATACAAATACATTAAAGATAAAACCACCGCTCAGGAGTACAAATCTATACATTAGGCTACATGGATTATTAAAGACTGCATTTCTAAGTTTTTCTCTGAAGGCACTGTTTGCAACAGCAGACTGATGGTCCTCACCCTCGTTTCCTCGCACTAGTGTTCATAGAAGCAGGGAGAGAAGCAGGAGGAGGAAACGGCTTAAAACAGAGGCATTTCATGGCTAATCATCTCAACCACTTCCTATTTTCCTCCTTCTCGTCATCCAGCTGAATGTTTCGAAGCTCAGCAGCGCCTGTTTGTTTTTCTAAAGCGAGGAAAGTAACAGAGAAATCAAAAGTCAGCGTTGGCGAGAGGCATTTTAGAGCTTCCAGTGACATCGCTCATTACACCTCAGAATCAGCGGCAGAACGTTTACTAAATATATCCTTAAAGATTACCACGTCTTAATGAAAGCATTTTTGACAGCTCCAGATTTCATTTAAGGTTTTTTTTGCATCCTTTAAAAAACAAAAGTTTGAAAACAGCTGCCTTTTTCTGCGAAGATCACACTTTGGTGCAGAAATCAGTTAACGACTGAGTCTGCCATTACCTCAGGAGGAAGGAGGTGAAGGAGGAGAAGAGGGGTGGGGTTGTGGTGGGATTTTGGGGGTGGGGGGTCCAGCACAGGACAGGCAGTGACGTGACTATTGGCCCTGAGGGGGGGGGGCGAGGAGGACGGAGGGTGGGGTAGGTCTGAGGGTGCGATTCTAGACAGCAGCAAACACGATGCGATCTGCTTTAAAAAGACAAACCAAACACCATCAAACAGGACATATTCCAGGTAGTTTGTAACTATTATTCTTGCTGACGGTACTGAATGACGGACTTGCGGTCTGGGCCAGCTTGCAGCATGCTGTTCAGAGCCTCGCGGACATCCAGAGCGCCCGAGCTGCAGTGGCCGTTGGGCAGCGAGTTTGAGGCTGGGAGGATGAAGCCTGGAAAGCTGGAGGGCGAGCTTGAGAACAGGGAGGAGGACGAGGAGGACGATGGGTTGGAGAAGTGGGGTGAGGTGGAGGACGCAGAGGAAGCACAGGACGAGTTGGAAGACGAAGGGTTGGCTTTCTGCGTGGACATCTGTGGAGACAGAGACTCAAAAAGATCGTCTAAGTCCTGCTGCTGTAAATGAGCCAGCAGGGTGGGGTTCTGCTCCTGCTTCTGTGGATCCTGTTGGGTCTGTTGGTGGGGCTGCAGGTCGAATAAAGGCGCAGCGGCCTGTGCGTTATCCTGGGTGTGCTGCAGAGCCTGGAGGATGAGCTGCAGATCGAGCTGAGACGGCGCCGTCTGCATGGTGTTCGACGTGTCTGGAGCGGGGGCGGCCAGAAGAGCGTCCAGGTTGAAATCGTCCACAAACGCTGCCGGGTTGGCTGAGGTGGTGTCTGGAGACGAAGAGGGCGGGCTCACTGTCAGGTCCAAGATTTCATCCAAAGGGTTCTTGGAAGATAAACTGGGAGGCGGGACGAACTGGCAGAGTGGAGGCAGCGGGTTCTTGGACTGCTGGAAATAAGTAGGGTTGTAAAACTGGGGAGGTCTGTGGCTGACCGTGCTGTTGGGGAACGGACACCAGCCGTTTTGATTCTGCAAAGAGAACAGCGACAGGCCATGGGAGTTCTGCTGAGTCAATTCTGGTAACTGGGAGAAGCTCACAGGCTGGGTCGTCTGTAGAGCGTTTTGGTTAAGGTTCTGGCTGAGGGACTGATTGGGTAAGGCTTTCTGACTGAACAAGTTCTCCAGACGATGCTTATTTTCCTGCTGCTCCAGCTTCCACTTGCGCTCCTGCAGCTCCTTCAGCTCCTTCTCTTTCCGTCTCCGTTTCACCTCTGTGTCCATCTGCAGCAGCTCCTCACGAACGCGAGCCACACAGTTCTCTGGGATCTTGATGCCTGCATCCAGCAGAAAAAGAAATAGTGAGTCCAATAGCACAGAAACGTGAAAGAAAACTTTCAAACTGTAGAGAAATGCAACCCCTAGATCTGTGTTCTATTCAAAAATCTAATTTTTAGTTAGAGTTACTAAGCTTTTCTTCTTTCCTTAAAAGAAGACTAAAGGTCTGGCTATAACCCTGCAGCAGTGTTATAACCAGCAGTGAGCTTTTCACAGAAATTTTTGATTTATGCTCAATATTGAACCGTGGTCTGCTCTATGTTATTCCGCACCACAATGCAAGATAGGGGTGGGTATTGGCAAAGAAGTCATGATTCGATTCGAATCACGATTCACATGCCACGATGCGATTCTATCACGATGCATCACGATACTTGAAATATTGCGATGCATTGCGATATTTTCACTGAACACTGTGAGAACAGTGTTCAGTGAAAACCAGTGGCTGACTGGCTGGGTATGATCTGGATCGTGTCATCAGCTGATACATAACTGAAAGCAACTGAATTCATACATAGCTGTATTTATTGAAACGAGTTTTGGAGGTGTTGCCATGAAAACAAATACTGGAGAGAAATATTACTATTACTGGTGTGGACACACTGACAAAAAGATCTTAGGATTCATCAAACTTAAAATAACAAAATAAGGATAATCATTGCCGTTTAAATGGCCTCAGTGGTCCTTTAAACCAATGAAATGAAAACATTCAAATGTATGACATTTCCCCTTTTGGAAATTATGTGCGTCATATCAATTTCGTTTTTACCTTCTTTGTTTTTAAAGCCAAAATGCATCCAAGCATCTGACTTGAAATGATATGGAGCCGGGCGAATTTTCTCAGGCACCTCCATGTTTTGTT